GTGTTCCAGACCCGGACCTGCTAGCGTTTATATTGTTCCAGACCTGACCCATATACCCGGCGGGTCCAGAACTAATGTTCCAGACCCGTACCCATCGGGTATCGGAACCGGGTCGGGTAGACCCGACCCATCTCACAAGAATCTTAACTCCAATTTCTTAAATAAAAAAATGACTTCTTACTAGGTTTTTTTTTCAAAAATCTATTCTATTCTATTTATATATAAGAAAAGATATAGCTCATCTAAAGACAATTTTACTCTTAATGAATCCTATGTGTCAAACTCTCCTTAATTCACTCTTTTGCTCTAGTCATGCCACGTGTCCATTTTTGCTTCAATATAGGAGACTCTCCATGGAATAGGAAGGAGCAGCCGTAGAGATGCATTGGTGGGACCCAAACTATAAAAAATCTCAATTTTTCTTTAAACTGCTATAACTTTTTCATTTTTGTTCCAATTTTTACAAAAAATATATCAAAATTCATAAATTTTTGTGATCTTTCATATGAGACCAATATTGAATATGAATTTTTTTTATTAACAATCTCTATAATCACGCTTGAAATTATATATATGCATTTTATAATCTATTTTGTTGTCTGAATGGGATGAAGTTACTTTAACTGTTCATTATTAGCTACTTTTTATATAATATTTTTCTTTACTTCATTAATAAAAGTATTTTAAATTAGATTTATCTATAAATCAATAGATTCAACTAAAATATGATTTTAAAACATATTTTAGTACATACAATCGAGCACCAGACCCATGGGTAGTTGGGTATCCGTCCCGGTTTAAGAATTTGGAGACAGATATCGGCGGGTCCAACCTAGACCTCTTTTACGGTTTGGGTTGCTTTACTATATAATAAGAAGAATTGCAAGCTTTTAAAAACGTGTTTTGGTGACAGGAAATTATTTCATGGAACTTGAATTCTGCAGAAACAAAAATTAGTAAGCTCCAGGATTCTTTTCTTCTTATCTATGAACTTACACTCCGTATATAAATAAAACATGGGCTGCCTTAAACCATTAACTTTAGGAGATAAATTAATTGCAATATGCAACCTGGTGCACCTATCAGATGCTTACTGAGATGAATTTAAAAGGAATATTATTGTACTTCAAGACCCAAAATTATTACTTTTTCTCATATAAACAATTCATCGAACACCTTATATGCACCTAAAACTCGGGTAAAATCTGAGAAATAAATTCATCAATAGTGGAAAGAATTTAAGAAGGGAAGAACATAGAATAAGGAGAAGAGGCAGGGTGCAGTAATTTCGCATACCTAGAGAGATGGAGAATTCTATGTAGTAATTAGCATCAAACAGCGTTAGTATATTGCTCAACTTCGCAGGCCATAATTGAGGGAGAAGGTGTGATCTTTCGGCGAGGGAGATGAGAAAACTCAGGCTGAAAATTTTCTGAGCTTGAGAAGATAAACATGGAAGCTTTCGTAGGTTTATTTGTGTTTTGGTGAGTAAACAAAAGGCTTGTGCGATGATGATCTATTTTTTTTTTCATAAAAAAAAAAAAGATAAATAAGCCACGTGGCTATAGAATATGATCGGAGAGAAACACGGGAAGATAAACATGTAGACTTACGAGAGGGTAAAATGGTCTTTAAATGAGCTATTTGCTTTCTTCTTATATATATATAAATAACCATTGAGCGGCCAAAATTTCTTTCTCATATGCCGAGAAAATAAGAACATATTGAACAAGATAATTTTCTCTCTCATAATTAGTTCTTTTGGGTAGAAGACCAGCTGACTAACAAATGAGCGGGAGAATTTTCTATCTCATTTGTACTACTTTTAGTTATTAGAAGATAAACTTGCTAACAATTGAGCGCAAAAACTTCATCTCTCATATATAGTTCTTTTAAGTACAAGATAATCTAGCTAACAATTGAGCGCAATAATTCTTCTCTTTCATATGTAGTGTTTTTAGATATGAGGTAAGCCGACTAACAATTGAGCTGCAAAACTTTCTCTCTCATATGTAAGAGTTTTAGGTATAAGAAGATAATCTTGCTAATAATTGAGCGAATGAATTTTCTCTTTCATATGTAGTACTTTTAGACATTAGAAGATAACATTGCTAACAATTGAGCAGAGGAATTGAGCGGGAGAATTTTATCGCTCATATATAGTGCTTTTAGGTATTAGATATGCAGTGCTTTTAGGTATTAGAAGATAAGTTTGCTAATAATTGAGCAGAATAACTTTCTCCCTCATATGTTGTTCTTTTAAGTACTTCCTTCGTTCCTTTTTAGTTGCAACGGTCAACATTTCACACTTGCCAATGCACGTCTTTGACCGTAATTATATCTTAATCTCTATTAGTAGAAAATATTTAAAAATTAGATTTTGAAAATTTGTAATGAGATGAATTGAAAAATATTTTTTTAAAAAAAATAATTTTCATAAAATAATAATATAAAATGTAGTCAACGTAGAACATGTGAATAGTGTAAAATTCAACATGTTGCGATTAAAAAGAGACGGGGGATAGTATAAGATAACAAGACTAAACAATTGAGCTTGATAATTCTCTCTCTCATATGTAGTGCTTTTACGCATAAGAAGCTTAAAAGATAAACTCGCTAACGATTGAGTGAGAGAACTTTCTCTCTCATATGTAATTCTTTTTAAGTATATAAGATAATCTGGCTAACCGTTGAGAGTTAAAATTTTCTCTTCCATATGTAGTGTTTTTAAGTATAACATAAATCAGCTAACAATTGAACGAGTGTCTTTTTAGATATAACAGGATAAGCTTGCTAATAGTTAAGCGAAAGATTTCTCTCTCTCATATGTAGTGCTTTTAGTTTTTAGAAGATAATCTTGCTAACAATTGAGTGAAGAATTTTATTTTATTTTATTTTATTTATTTTTTATTAGTGCTTTTGTTGCATTAGCTTTAATTTCCGTAGCTTTCTACCTTCATTAACTTTTGTAATTTGCTCTCATAAATTTATAATAAAAAGGGGAAAAACCAAGGGCTCTCACTAGAACCCCCCACCCCCCATATAAAAAAAAGTATAAGATAAACCAACTAATAATTAAGGAATATTTTCTCTATCATACATAGTGCTTTTAGGTATATGTCTTGATTAAGATAATCCGGCTAACAATAAAGTGGACAGTCTTTTCTTATATTTAGTTCTTTTAGGTATAAACCGTATAACATGATAACAAGATAAGCCGACTAAGAAACGAGCAGAATAATTTTCTCTCTCATATGTTAGCACTAATTTAATAATGAGTAGCAAGTTCTTATTTAACTAACATTATTTAATTTTAATATTTATTGTATTCACTTAAATTTTATGTCACTCACTTTTTTAGGAATATTATTTAATTTTTTAAATTTAATCTAATCATAAAAATAATAAGTAGCAAGTTCTAATGAGTGGTGTCAATTATTTTTCCTAATATACTCTTCATTGAATATATAATGTATGGATTTATACTTTATGGAATTAGCTGATTGAACTCTTATTTTTCAAAAATGTAGAATCCTATAAAGTTGTTTTTATGTTAATATTTAATTTCATCTTGAGAAAAATATATGCGCCGACCTCTCTTTCCCGTGCGTATGCACGGGTACTATACTAGTATTACTAAAAATAAAACTTATTTACAAATTGAACATAAGTTTAAAATATGACTTCATAGTAACTTAAGTTTAAAACTTGAATATAAATTACTATGATTTCATTGCTACTCGGTTACTAATCACATTTTTGTAAATAATCTCCATTTTAGTCATAAATATGTAACTATTTCTTCTTACTATCAAATCTTTTTTGGGAATAATACGGTGCAGTGTAATAACATGTTTGGAATTACTCAACCCAAAGCAACAATATAAACATGATGACTCCATATCTACGCATTCAAAATTGATCACGTAAGGTGCACTAGCGAAATAAACATAATTCTCCAAAAACATAAGGTTAAGCCAAGTAGTCTCTTTGAATCTATGATAGTAATAGAAAAATAAAATCTAAAACAAGTTCTATCTGATTTTTACAAAAACACAAATCTCAAGGAGTTTGGTAAGTTGCAGGGGCGGACCGTAGTACAGACCCAGGGGGCAACCGCTCCCCAACAAAAATATTTCTAGGGTATAAATACACGAAAAATAATTTTCGCCCTTCAAAAAATAATTTTCGCCCCCAAAAAAATATTTTGAACCCCCCCCCCCCAGACGGATTTCATGGGTCCACTCTTGATAAGTTGATATCACTTTAATGAGCTGCTTTGCCTTCTCTAGTTCTTTGTGAGTTACTTTATATAGAGTAAATTGTAAGATACGTAATTCGGAGTATTAGGGTAAAGAGTAATACTAATGGCTTAGGATTTAACTATAATACGTAATAGTAATGTGGGCGACATATTATATACAGGGTATATATGTATATATAATGGGTCGGGTCCTAAACGGATCGGAATGACATATACCATACCCGACCCATTTAATAAAGGGTCCGGATCCGGTTCTGGGTAACGGAAAAAATATAGACTCATACCAATTAAGAAAAGACGAATCCAGGCCGGGTTCGGGTCTAGACCCAACCCATTGACAGGCCTACTTGGGAGGATTTAAAATGTAATAATCGTGTTTGTGCATTTTAGGGAATTTTTAAGAAATAATTACATCAATATGACTAAAATAAAGATGGTTTACAAGAATATTACTAGTTACTAGAGTAGTAATGAAATCACAGTAATTCATGTTCAAATTTTGAATTTAAGTTACCACTAACACTACATTCTGGTAATAAATAGTTATATTTATGTAAATAAGTTTTATTTTAGTAATACTTCCGTAAAAAACCCAATTTTTAATCCTACCCAATTTCTTATTTCTAAAAACAATACGGAGTACAATTTTGTCACCAGTCAACAAAAATTTAGGAACCCTTTTTGGTTTCAAATTCCTACTTTTGGTATATATCCAAACATTCTGTAATTCTCGCAGGCCGCGGCAGAGACAGAGAAGCCCTATTATTTCCGCCGACCGCAGTCCCTTCTTTTGGCATCTTCTCTTCCAATTTCCGCGACTCCTTCCGGTGAGTCGTCAATCGTAATGCTCATCTCATCTACGCTTTGAACTGTTTAAGTTTTCTGTAATTGTGTTAAGTGTTTTATAGTCTCTTGGTATGTTTCGAATTTACTATGCGTCTGTGATAATCTACTATGTATGAATTATGGAAAAAGCTAAAGATACCCAAAATGGGATATCTCATTTGTCTCCCACCCTATTGGGTGTCACACTTAAATGGATTGGATCATTTGTGGTCACCGAATAGGATGAGGGACAAATGGGGTACCCAGATTGGCTACCTATAGCAAAACTGATGAATTATTGTCTTGATTAATTCAAGAAAACCGACATTGAGATGAGCGGAGAAAACAGGGGATAGATGAGGAGCTAGTGGCTTCTATAAATAAAGACTATAATGCGTACAGCCTGACAATAGTGGATGGCATAATTGTGACTGACATAGTGACTGTGTTTTTTATACGTAGTATTCATTACTCCCTAAATCAATTTCCATTTAGTGTTTGGACGATCAAACTTAAATCACAATTAAACTTTTACTTACGTAGTATTATGTAAAAGTTTTACAAAAGTTTTTTATAAAAGTAGTATTCATTACTCCCTAGATCCTCTACTACTAGTATATCATAATTTTATAAAAGTTTTTGTAAACATTGTAGTAGGTTTAATGTAGTTTCTGAGGATGTTTTTACTTGGACTCTAATTTGTTCCAATCTAGACCAGACTAGACCAGATCATACTTTGATAGTTTTAAATATACAATGAAATCAGACCAGTTCAAACCAGACCATCAAATTACGGTCCAAGTAAAAACATCCTGAATATGTAAATTTTATTTGCTAAAAATAATCCGAGTTTTCACAGAGATCATTTAACTTTATCGCTGGTCAAACTTCGTAAGTCGTAACCCGCAATTGGAAGTTTTATTAGGGACGAAGGTAGTATTATTCAATTTTGTTTGGCACTAATATTACAGAAATTTATGTTTTTATACTTCTTCCATTCTTAAATCAATGCAACATGTTAAATTTTACATTACTCACATGCTTCACTTTGATTAATATTAATCTATTAATAATTTATTTTTATAAAAATATTTTTAATTTGTCTCATCCTAAACTTTCAAAATCTAATTTTTTTAATTATTTCTAAAATAGAGAATTAAATATACTAATGGTCAAAGTTGTGCGTTTGCAAACATGAGAAGTTGACTGTTGCACTTATTTAAGAACGGGGTGGTATGAAATTATTTATTAAAACATTCCTATATTTTTTTATATTTACGGGTTTTCTCCACGTTGCGTGTCCTTTTTTTGAAAACGTCAATTTCTACGTCTCCCGTTTCTCGTTTCCGTGCTAAATAGCAATGCAATGAACCCTAGCTAAGCTGGTATTTTGATCAGGTCCTGAACAACCGATTTATCGATTTGTTACAGATCTAGCCAGCAATTTCTGTTGCTTCAAACTAATGGAAAGCTGCGCAAAACTGCTCACCATCTTCTCTTTTGACATGGAAAGAAGAGGTAATTAAGTAATTACGCTCGTTCATGCTTTTCTATATATTCCATATGACATGCTTTCCTCAGGTCTGCTTTTCTTCATGTACACGCACACACAAATTATAGTTTCTCACACGACCTTTAGTGAAAGTAATCACAGCTGTCTAGAACCCTTCATGGCCCAGCGCTTCTTCTATGCACGTCAAAGAGAACCATTTAATATGGGTAGTAAATTATTTTTAACACCCAGTTTTTACTCCTGTTTATCAATTGAAGTGCTCCGGATATATGGTTTGAACTTTGAACACAAGATACTTTTATTAAGAAAATAGATTGAATGTGTTTATTCTTAAATGACTGCATTTAAAACACTATAATTTTGATACGGAGTATGTTCAAGACTTCAATGTGCATGCTCTGAGTTCCCATAACCAAGTCTGCCATATATATACTAGCTCAGCCCACCCCAAATTTGGAAAACTTTTGATGTTAAGTGTTAAGAAATTATGAAACAATTATTTGAAAATTTCTGTTTGCCAGCCCAACCAGGCAATATATGCTATTGTCTATGCCACTGATTATGTGCGATATGATTGACAAGCATTTTTATGTATTTCTGATTGATCTTTCAGAGTTGGAGGTAAGGCTATGGCGGTGTTTACTTCTAGTTGTCTGTGTCTTGGAATTCACGATGGTCATGGATATATTTGGATGGACATTGGACGTGCTATTATTCGTTGGAGCCAATATAGAAATCTGGAAGTGTATAGTGACCCACGGATTTTGTGTTTCTGATCTTGCGGAGGAAAAGTATACATTGATGGGAAGGGATTTTAAGTGCGCATTGGAGCTTTTCTTTGGTGGCTTAGCTATGGCAGTAAGCTATATATTACCATATAACATTGAACACGCTGCTGTATTGGCTTGTTGGAGCTTGCAACTCTATGGATGGAGCCGGCTATCAGGTTATTATGACTTGGGTGCTTGGGAAGTGTTTGTGACAGTACCAATGCAGGCCTTTATGTATTGCTTTTTTGCGGGAATGATGAACAAGGAGATGAGCAACAATAATCGTCTTTTGCTCTCTGCTATGGCACTTGGCTTCTGGGGCAGTCTTTCTATTTACCGTTTCCGCACCTATACCCCTCCTCCTCCTCAAATCCCAGAAGAATATGATGTGCTACCTGATGGTTAACCCCTCCACCCTATTCACATCGTCACTGCTCGTCTTCAACAACTCTTATGGTTGTTGAAATTTACACTACCTCTGTTACAAATAATTGAGGAAGGATCTTTCCTTTTCAATTAATCATACTTGTATTTGATTATTTGATTAATGATGTTAGGCATTGGTTGGTGCTCCCTCCTCCCAAATATTGGCAATTTTTGCTTTTCTTGGTCTTAGACATTTTTTTTATACTACCTCCCCCGAAAAGGTTCGCCATATTGACTTTTTTTAGTTCATGATGACAAACTTTGGACAACAATTTTTCTATTATATTTGTATCTAATATATAAATTTTATACTTTTATGAAAATATTTTGAATAAGGAATACTTTGATATAATTTTCATATTCTAAATAATTTTGTAGTAAAATTATCATTAGTCAAAGTTGATTGTCATTGATCAAGAAAAGTCAATTTGGCGAACCACTAAGGAAGGGAGGGAGTATTATATGATAGTATTTGTGTAAACTAATATGGAGTGATTTTATACTCTTATGAAAGCACTTTAACACAAAAACATTTTCATATAACTTTCATTTTTGAAATGATTTTGTATTAAACATATCATTCACCAAATTGGATAATTATTAATCATGAAAAAAATTGACATAGTTATTAAGTTTTATGAGTAGTAGTATATTTATGTTGATATAAATTCAACATGAAATGTATAGAAGAGTATTAATACATGTATGAGCACCTTAAGCGCAGCTATTTGAACATGGAAACCTCATTTTTAAGTTTGTACTAGTAGAGAATAAGATATATTTATGATCAAATAATGTGTAAAGTACATGGACGGTTGCAAATAAAAAATAATTGGGGAAGTATATATGTTTATTTTCAATTATGATGTTTTCCTTGCATTAGATTGTTTTCAGTCCTAGTCCAGATTACATCAGACTTGGATAATTATAAAACATAAAGAGATAAGACATTAAAAGACCATATCTGACTAGACCAGAAAATTTTAGGGCAAGAAAAAACATTCTTAGTCACACTTTTATTTGATAACTTTATGAATGATGTTAAGGTGATTGGTATTCCGTCCTCCCAAATCTTGGCAATTTTGACTTTTCCTTATCCTGGACAATAGTTTTAGTTATTATATTTGTATGTAAACATTTGAACAAAATAACATTTTCATATCACTTTCATATTTATGATTTCATATTAAAAATATCATTGAATAAATTTGATCACCGTACCATTAATTAAGCTTTAGGAAGAGTAGTATTATTGTATTTATAACAGATGCTTTATTGCGGCGTTTGGTCGAACATTTAACATGACTGCAATAATAGGAGTATATGTAGCGGTGGGATTTTGGAACCGGGAACCGTAGAGCCGATTGGAACCGAACCGTTAACAACATCTAAGAACCGAACCGTTAACAATTAATGTCTTATTTGTAGGAACCGAACCGAAGCGAGTTTAAACGGTTCGGTTCCTATTAAAAATATGTGCATAGAACCGTTAAGGAACCGTTATTAAAAAAATAAAAAATAAAATAATAATATTAGTAGTAGTAACAATAATAATAATAATAATAATGATAATAATAATAGCAATAATAACCACCACCACAACAACAATAATAAAACTATATAAGATATTTATCTAACAATTCTAATTTAATCAACGGAAAAGAAGTAATAAATATTGTACATGAGGTTGATATAATACATTAAACTCCTTTCTACAAATCAAGTTTTGTCCCATCACATAAATTTAATAAATATAAAATAACCCAAATAACTTGTAGTTGATTGCACATATTTTACTTTACTATTTTCATGATATTTCTAATTATTAGATTTATTATGAATCAATAGAATGTAATAATGTTTTTTTATATCTATACATGCAAACTCAATGTCTTTTTTTTTATGTTTTGAAAGACTTGAAGTATGTGTCCTATTCTTGCTACTATGATGACGAGTAACCTTCATCGCTCTGACACTACAACAATTTTTAATGTTTCATTTATTACATGAAAATTTAAATCACTTTTGTTCTATTAAGTGTTCAAAGTTCATTAGTTAAGTTTGAGATTTGATGTTTGAAGTGATTAGAGCTTCAAATAAAATTTTAATACTCGTGTTTTGAATTTTCGACGTGTTTATGTTGTTTGTAGAAAGTAAATTATGCGTTGATTCTTAGACGAGAAAAAATTATTCTAGGAACCGGTAAAATGAAGAACCGAACCGTTTACTATCGGTTCGGTTCCATAACGGTTCTTGATTTTTTATATAGGAACCGAACCGATTTCATTAGTTAAAACTTTTATAACGGTTCCACTCATTTTGAGTAAGAACCGAATCGGTCCCAGCCCTAAGTATATGTATGTGATTCAGAAAGGAGTTCATATTCCAATTGTACTTTTACAACACTATTTTCTTTATTAATTATTTGCAATATATTAGAACAACATCTTTAAATAAATTCATCCCATAAGTTGGACTTAATAAAAATTATATCATGCCTCATGAAAATATATTTTACTCCTCATATTTGGACCGAAACATTAGAAATACTTGAAGAGGATAGAGCCAAAGAAGCAAAGAGTAAAACTGGGATAATTGAAATGCCCCAACTCTTAATTCATGTTTTAAATACTCTCTTCATCCCTAAATATATTACGTAGTACATCATGTCTCAAAAAAATATGAGAAATACTAGGTGTAGACAATTAGTACACAAAGTATACACATAACTTCCCTAATCATCTGTGTAGACAAACAATTACTTTTAAAAAGACATGATTATATGTCAAAATATCTGTGTACACGGGCCATGTACAATTTGTGTACACATTTTTTGTACACCAATAATGACTCTAAAAATATATCTTAACCCTCATAATTTGGACTGAAACATTAGAAAGACTTGAAGATGAGAGAGCTAATTAAAGAAGCAAAAAGTACACATGGGATAACCGATATCTGTAGTATGATCGTCTTACATATGAAGTACTAGAAATTAGATCGCGCTTTGCGCGAATGCAATATGTCCAGTGCTAAAACTTGTTGAATTTGTTTCTAAGTTTTTAGCATTGATTGTAAATGATTTTTTTAGTATCTATTGTTATAAAATGTGTTACATGTTCTATATTTTGGTGTAGTTTTGTACCGTAAATAAGTGTATAAACATTATTGTTTGAAAATCACAAATAGGTTAGTATGTAATTTAGGTATGAGTGAATGATTATAAGGGTTTGAGTATATGAGACAAAAACTAAAAGCATAAAATCCTTATATATGTAATAATATGGATTTATTTTATTTGCCATAATGAAAAGTCGTTTCTCCTTGCAGATGCTTCATTCTCTGTGGATGGATTTAGTTTTTCATCTTTGTTTGCTGGAGCTGGTGGTGTGTGTATCTATTCTTCGCGAATTCTTGAATGAGAATAAGGGTTATAGTAAAGGCAGATTAATTAAAACACAACATGAAAACTAAAAGGATAAAACAATTATGATCTTGGTACCTAAAAATCTAACAAGAAATCACATAGGTAGTTTTTATTATGTTTTGAAGCTACTTTAACATAAAATCTAATAGGAAAAAAAGAAGTTCATAGGGGAACAAAAAATCACTTTGAGTTCATGTTGAACCCCGGAAAATGCTAGGGGAAGTAAATGAGAAAGAAAAGTGATTGAGAAATTCTGGGAAAGAAAATTTCGGGTAAATAAAAGAAATTTCAACTCAACAAATCAATTCAAGATATTTATTCAACCTTGTTTATTTTTTATTTTATTTCTCTTACAAAGTATAATAAAGATAACATAATCAAAAGATATAACTGAAGTTCATTTTACTGCACATTCTCAGGGTGAAACGAAACATTAAAAACAATTATTTTCCCTAGCTAATTTTTCTTATGCTACAAATTGCCTAGATCACAGACCACTTTGAGTTCATTTTGAAAGCCATAAAATGATAGGTGAGGTAAATGGGAAAGAAAAATACCGTAAATGAATTGTAGATATTGGTTCAAGCTCACTTGATTCTTTTATTTCTATTACATAGCGTACATAGACAAAGACAACATAATAAAAAGATACGTGATTATTTAAAAAGTTATAATCAATGTTGGTTTTACTTCAGATTTCCGTGGTGAACCCAAACAATAAAAGCAACTGCTTTCCTTTGCCAATTTTTCTTTCGCTTGAATTTTTCTACCCCAAAGCATATGTTGAATATCACAAAAGGGTTCTGGTGGAGCTAATTTGGGATGTATATAAGATCAAATAATGTACTGGATTGGGATGCCAGATTCCCATTTTAGCATTAGGCATTTCCTTTTTCAATCAAAACAGTATTAAGCAAGCTTAATGGCGGGTTGATTTATAGGAAAAAGTTTATTTATTAGCAAGAAATATATATAATCTCATCCTAAACAGGGGTGTTAGCCTATAACATGGTTTTCTGAAAATCTGAGTCGATGTTAGACTACTATGGTTGTATTATAATGGTCCAAATGAGTAAAGCATGTCAACTTCAAGCTCCTAACATTGTCTTCATTAACTAAGTGCTCCTTCCTTTCAGGTGTATAAAAAAACAGTTAAGTGCTTCAATTAAGTTAACATAGGTGAAACCGTGAGTGTAGAATATACCACAAAAGTACTGAAAATCTATAACAACAATATAGAAACAAAATCCAAAAACAAAATATCACCGCTTAGAGAGCAAGTTTTGATGCTACCTTTTAAATAGAAATTAGCTATTAATGTGATTTTTATTATAAAACAGCTATTGATTCAAAAACTTCCTAATATCACCACATGTTTTGATCCTACCTTTTAAAATACAGAGTATTAGCATGAAAACTAAAAGCACATTTCCTCCTTTAATTTCCAGCAACACTACCTTTTTGTAAGTTCCCATGGTCTTAAATCTTAACCTATTAATTGTGATTTTTATGTGAAATCCTAATCGCATCCAGGTTCATATATATGCATCCATGTGAATTCAGGCAATGACTTGCAGGTGCTATAGGATTACCAGTCATGTATGCACGATGAAACATAAATAGAGAACAGGAGAACAAACGCAAGAAAAGAATAAATTGCACCAAATAAACGGCTAAAATTAGAGAAGAATAGCACACTCACCCGCAAAAACTCTTGACCAACTGCGTGAAAAAGATGT